GCGTCTCGCTTACATCACTAAGTGGCTAAATGGTTAGCGCTTTTCTGCTCTATGATAAACATGCAGAAGAGTCAATCTACCAAAGTTTGCATCTTTTTGTCGCAGCTACAAAGAAGTAAAGTTTGCTGCAGACCTGCTTTTTGCTAAATCCTAGATCCACTGTGTGCCCTTTATGTGAGAAATACTGTAAAATGGGGAAAAAACGACAGAGAAACCACTTGGGAGGAGGTGACACAATACTCTTTCCCTACTGATGGTACAGGGGAGAAAGACGACACCAAGCGCAAGATGCAAATGCCATTTTACAGGACAGGAGCCCCTGTCAAATTACAGCTTTTTGGCACAGTCAGGGCAGTACACTTGCTCCTCGTGGAAAACAAAGCGCTTGTTGGCCAGGTTCACGGAGCATTTTTTGCAGTGGAAGCAGTAGTCGTGCCAGGATTGTCCTTCATAGGCCACCACACTGGAGCCTTTACCAAACCCTGTTTGGAAACAAAAGAGAAGAAGAGAGACAGCTGAGTGAACACAGGTGGGGCAGCTGTGGTGCAGAGAGATACAATGACGACTCGCCCCAGGCGCAGAGCCAACAAGCACACAGAGCCAGTGTCAACAGGCTCCCGGCCACCCCTCTCCGCCACCGTGCACTCTACCCCACGCCACTGCTCCCCTGCTATGGCGCTCAAAGTACAGTACTGTCCCAGCCCTGGAAAGATGCCAGAGCCAGTTCAAGCCCCTGCATTCCCGTGTCACTGCTAACGCCCTGTGACGCGCACCAACCTCCCAGCATAACCAGGTTCTTTGATTAAGGTCAGGGCCATGGCATCAAAGTGGCCACCAGGAGGCAAACTTAGGCTGTTTGTGGGGTGTGCACTTACCGGGCCTCGAGGAGCTGCTAAGCTTCGATTTTTTCTATAAAGAACCACCACCCACGAGGGACAAGTTCTCTCTCCACCCGGATGCCTGCCCCGGATGTTGGCGCTGGGAAACAGGGTGAGAGGCAAGCGTTTCCCGTGGCACACTGGGGGCTTCCTAGCTTTAGAGACTGGGTGGCTCACTCTTGACACAGTCCTTTTCCCTGAGGATGGCAAAAGTCTTCTCAAATGTACATTTCAAGGCTCCCCGGGGAGATGGGAACAGCAGAGGCAGGGGAAGGGCCCAGGGCACTTGGACCGCGGCCGCGAGATGAGGAATGAAGTGAGTAGCTGTGCTTCTGACTGCAAACCACTGGCAACAGGCAATGCTGAACCACCCAGCCTTCATCTGCAGGGTGCTAGCATCCCAGCTTCGCTCTCTCCAGCCTCCCTGTCCCGCCCCTGCCCCACAACCTCCACCCCAGTCCCCTCGCCCCCCAGAGCCCCACACAGTGCCTGCCTGTGGCCCAGTGGGTCTCAGGCATGTGAAGTCCTGGCAGCGTTGGTCAGCAGCGGTCGGGGAGCGTTCTGTGTTGCAAAGGCTAACCTAGCCTGGGGGAGAATTCAAACTACCAGGGCCTTTATGAGTACAATGGCGGGGAACGAAGGGCATTCTTTGGGGCCTTTGTGGATGAAACCGATGACACAGGAAAATGAGAGGTGGTTACCATGCGCAAAACCTAGCCTGGCAGACTTAGCAAGGACTCTTTAGCCTACCAGTGATGGGGTTCTTGCATCCAGCACACTTCTTGGCCACAAAGTTCTTGTAGCAATCCACGCAGTAATACTTGTCGTCCACAGCAGTGAAACGCTGCCCAGCCAGCTTCTTAGAGCAGGTAACACACACAAAGCACTCGGCATGCCAGGGTTGATCCTGGTAAGTGATTCCTCCAGAAGTGATGGCCTAGACCAGGGAGTGCAGCACCGGATTCAGATTCAACAACCCTTCTGTTGAATGCCTACTACGTGCCAGGCACTGTGCTGGGCGCTTGGGTAAACAGTATCTCATTTAATCTCCACAGCAACCACGGGAGGCAGGTGCTATTATTATCCCCAATTTACAGATGAAGACACAGAGGCTCAGATGAGGGCAGCCCCTTTCCAAGCGACTCTAAGTGATGGAGGCAGGCCCCGAGAGCCGGGGCTGCCTGACCCAGAGTGCAGTGCAGGCGCCCCACACCACAGCTGCCACGTGGGCCACCAGAGCAGGGGCACGCATGGCAGCTTGATGTGGGCCACAGCACTGCTCTCTCTACCATAGTTTCCTCATCTGTCAAGTGAGAATAATAATTCCTACGTCACAGGGCTGTCGTGAGGATGGAATGGGATAGTGTGTGTGCAAGTGCTCTGCAAACTGTCAAATGCTTCTAGAAACCAGAGTAAACGCACCACGCCCGTGGCAACGTACCTTATTGCACTTCACGCAATGCTTGGTAAACTTGGTCTCATGGCAAGTCACGCAGTAGAAGTCCTCCCCTTTAGGGAAGAAGCTTCCAGTCCCGATGACTTGTTTGCAGTGGCTACAAGTAAAGCAGTCTTTGTGCCAGACGGTCCCCTTGTACTCCATGTTTTGATCTCCTGCGGGGGAAGCAATCGCATAACCCCACTGACAGTGCTCTGCAGGGGGCTGCATCCGCTCAGCTCCCTAGCCCAGACCCTCTTGAGTTGAGGGAATGCAGTCCCTGCAGTGACTGGCCTCAAGCTTCCAAGTCAGCTGCCCGTGGGGCCTTGTCTCCAATGTTTGGCTCCTCCTGGTGCCAACCCAGAATCCTGTCACAGGAGGGACCCTAGCTTGATGATGTCAGGGTCAGATGCCTGGATCCCCACTCCCACCTCAGACCCTTCACGGACTTGCAAATTCAATAGGGGAAACGACCTGGCCCAGAACTCTAGAACCACTAGGAGAAGGCACCCTAAGGAAGAAGCATGCTTTGCTCACTTATTATACCCAAACGAGAAAGTGCTACATACTTTTCACTTCATTCTCTTGCCACAGACAGTTCTCTCCAGTGTTCTTTAGTTTCCGAATGTGTGCGTGTGTGCGAGCATATATGTGTACACATATATTCATATGTATATATGTGTACATATATATGCAAAAATCTTAAAGCAGCTAACAGCAACATTAGCCTCATCGTCACAAGCAAACCCCCATCATCTCTGCCCTTGGGGCCTCCTCCCTGGCAGCCAGCGGGGATGGGGGGGGGGCAGCCATGGGCCCTGTGACCTAGCCCCGGGTGGGGGGTGAGCGTGTGCAGTACCTGCCACAATCGGCTTGAAGCACCCTTTGCACTTGAGGGAACCCTCACGAGTGGAGCACTTGTTGCACAGGATCTTGTTGTCCTTGGCCACAAAGGTCTCATCGGCCAGAGGGTGAAAGCACTTGGAACAGTGGAAGCAGGTATCGTGCCAATAGCGGTTCTTATAGTGCAGCTCCTAGGAAGCAAACGAAAGCACACAGGGTGCCGGGAGTCCCTCCTTGGGTCACTGTGTGGCAGTGGCAGTTACCCTCCCACCAAAGGCTGATTCCTGAGGCCGCAGAGTCCTTGACACCAGTGAACGCCCGCCCCCAAGAGGATTGTCCCTCATGTCCTCATGAGAAGCATGAGGGACACTGAAGGATGATAGAAAACTTGGGATTTCTGGACGGCTTCGAGAAAGACCAGAAGAGCTGGAAAGGGCCCTGGCACTCATGTACCTAACACCCACATTACATAGCAAGGGACGTGGAGACTCAGGCAGTGGGAAGGGCTTCGTCAAGGCCAGCCGGTCGATGGCAGAACTAGGACCGGCTCCTTACCACAACACTGCTGGGCCTCTACTCCCTCCTCTGCGTGCCACTACCTGTCCTGCCTTCCACTCAGGTGGCTACAGTGATGAGGACAAGCAACAGAGGCTGTGAGCAGGGTAAAGAAAAACTACACTTGAATGCCCATGCTGTCACGTTGCCACGTGGGGATGACTGTTACCTTGGCATCCGCACCGATGGGCTTGCGGCATTCCACACAGGTGTTGGCGCAGAACTTGTCAAAGCACTTCAGGCAGCAGTGGTGGCCATCCTTCTGCACATACTTCTTCCCCTGCAGGGACTCCCGGCAGTAATGACAGTCCATTTTCTCAGCCATCGTGCCCACCTTGTATCTGGAGGGACCTGTGAAGACAAACAGGCGAGGTAAATAACCAACGGAAACCCCAAGAGCAATGTGCTTCAGAGGCTCTGGGAGACCCGTGGGTCGTTCCACACACGCCCAGAAACAGTCCGTACGCACGGGCTCTGGAGATCAGGGTCCAGCTTCCCCGCGAGCCTGGCTGGCCCCCAGGCACCAAGGTATCTGTCACAGATACTTCACTCGGACTCCTGGTGAGATGGAACCTCTTGGATCTGGCTCCCTGGTGGCCAGAAGGCCATGGGCCCTCAGGGTGGGAGAAAGCCCTGCTTGGACATACCACTGTGCTGACTCACCAAGGACAGGACGTGAAGGAGGACAAGAGGATCAGACACAGCTTCTGGGGCGTGGGGGTGCTCCCAGTAGTGGCCGGAAGGCTTGTAAGAGTGGGATAGAGCAGCCAAGATAGAAGGAACTGCCTCATGCAAAAGGCCCAGCCTCGGGCAGTGGCTCCAGCGTGAGGGGTGCGGTCAGGCATGCAGCGCGCGAGGGCACCACAGCTCCACGGAGGGCTGTGTGCGGCCTCTGCCAGCTGCCAGGCATGGGCAGGGCAGGCAGGCCCTCTGCTTCAGGGGCCAGACACTAGCTTGGGAGCCAGGAGCCCTCCTGCCAGCTTTCGCTCCTCCTTGACCACTTTTTTAGGGGGGACAGTAGCCTTTGGAGTTTACTTTCCTTACAGCTACAAAATGCAAATCACTTTACCAGACATTGGCTGCTGCCGCCACATACCATGCCGGCACATCAGCCTCATGAACACACCAAAAGTGGCTGATGTGCACTTTTCAATCGGCAGGAAAGATTTCAATCCCTTTATTCCAAGTTCAAAAGTGGCCTCCTCAACTGGTGCTGGCGATTTGTGTGACACCCCAAGCAAAGGCCCTCTGTTCAAGCAGGGGGATCAATACAGTCACAGAACTGTTATTATTTGGGGCACAGGCTGGTTTAAACATTGCCATTTGAAAGGATAATCAGAAAAAAAAAATGGCTTTTCAAAATGTCTACAAATTTTGTTGTAAAGTGTTAAATTCACTATGATCCCCAAGGTCCTTGCTCTTTGTCTGGCTCCCCTCCCCCTCCTCTCCTCCCGCCACCCGTGCTGGGCTGGGACCACAGACAACACACATCGGTAAGGCACTCTGCAGGCAAATCATTTCCTACCGAGTCCTGTCACCCAAAAGGCACCCAGTGGGAGTTTGGATTAACCAGCTCTCACCAGCTTTAAACAGGCTATTTTGCTCCTCTCCCTTCCACCCCCAGAAAAAAAATCTTACCCGGGTAAATAGATAGCAACTATTCAATTTGCACAGGAAACACGAGAAAGGAGACAATTTTCTCGAACTATCCACAATCATGCTTAGCGTGCCAGCACACATCCAAAGCGTCACTTACAGAGAAAGACGGGGGGCAAAGAAACGCAGCAAGCAGTTGCTGGTACTCACCACAGCTCCTCCACTGACTGAACAGCCCCAAACTCCCACTTTGGGTCCCATCCCCAGTTTGTTTTATACAAACGCATGTCCAAGTTGTTTGGCTCCTGTTGCCACAGGCAACCAAATAGCAGAGAGTGAGCTAAGGAAACCACACCCTGTGTTTCTGAACCCGCCTTAGCAAAGGCAGCTTGAACTCTCACTCAGAACCAGGTCTGAAGTCAGCCTCCAAGCAGAGAATGAGGCCACTGATGAGACGACAACGAGGTCTGGACCAGCCTCCCTCAGCCTCACGCTGACACCCAGCCAGCCTTCCCCCACCACCACCTCAACCATCTCCAGCGAACTGACAAATGAAGCAAACTGGTGACACACTTGTGCAAAGATAGTTGCATGGGACTAGAGGATGGTTACTGCCACTTCTCCCTAAAAAGAAAACCTTATATAATTGCGTTAGACACACAAAGTAGGGATGCAATGAACCCAGGGTCTATCTCCATGAATGGTATTGGTATACTTCTGACAAGGTATTTCTTCAACTACTTCTTTTAGCCTCTGTGTTTATATATATATATATCTGGCACAGAGATAACATGCTGAAAACCACTCTCCTTAATTCATTCTTGCTGTTCTTCCCCTTGTCACATTAAATCCTCATCTCAGCTTTTCCATATTAAAATTACACTACACAAAGACCGGCTTTCTTATGAAGAACTGAGCGGAGGAACTAAATGCAACCCCCTGTAATGATAAATGCCAATGAAATTAAATTATCAGTGGCTCCTAAATGTCATTTGGCAGGAAAACAGACTTTGGATGGCCAGTGATCTTAGCTAGGTTAGCACTTCAGACACTATCTTCTTGGACCATATGTAAAAACCCCTCATTCCTCCTTACCAAGGTCTCTAGTTCGGATACAACTATGAGCCTACTCATTTTATTACCACTCCCTTTTGGTGTCTTTCAAAGAAGAAATGGATTCCAAACAGCTTTATGGTAACGTGCCACATACAGTCCACAAGAAGAGGCCCAACCTCTGGGTATTTTTGAGTCCCAGCTTTCTGGTAGAAATACAAATATTAGTGTAATGCAAACGTGAAAACACTAGCAAACCCAGTGAATTCTACCTAAAGGTGTTTAGGTGTTTTGAAGAGAAGTAAATGGTACTATGGTCCAGAAAGGTCTTACCTGCAAAGCCTTCCCCACTTCAGAACCACACACTTTCAGAATTGTTATTATGACCAGTGCCAAGTCCCCATTGGTTACTTTCATAGTTCTAGAACACAAATCACTCAGCAATTCTAGGCACCCAGATGATACAACAATCCATGGCCCACCAATGAACAGGGAAGTACCAAAGTGTGTTTAAAATTTCAGTCAATCACGTCGTTCACTACTGTTATCATTCCTATAGCAAAGGGTCTTACACCAAGAAAAAGGAAAGGGAAAAGATTCAACCTCACCTTAATGGTTCCACCAAGAGGAGTCCCACACCTCTTGGTATTTTTGTGTCATAGCGTTTGACAATGTTACCTTTTCTGTAGTATGAAAAATCCAAAAAAAAAAAAATAATAAATAAAAAAATTAAAAATTTGCAAACCCACTGCCATCGAGTCAATCCTGACTTGTGGCGGCTCCCAGTGGGTTTTCAAGGCTATAAATCTTCACGGAAGCAGATTGCCTCATCTTCCTCCTGCAGAATGGCTGGTGGGTTTGAACTGCCAACCTTCTGGTCAGCAGTCCAATACCTTACCCACTATGCCACTAGAGCTCCTTTACGAAAATCCAGGGCCATCTTATTTTCCCCATCATCCTATACTTCTACCCAAAGAATCTAGATTCAGATGGAAAAACAGATTTCAAAAGGTCATTTTCTTTTAGAACTGATTTCGACACTTGACTTAAGCCTGGGTTTTTTGTGTGGGGAAACACTTATTTGTCAGGATAAAACAGGCACTTCTAGGAACGCTAGCTGGGTTGCCTAATAAGTAAACAGGCTGGAAATAAAGTATGTTAACAATGTCTATGTCAAATTTATGAACTTTAGTACTTTTTTTGCAATAAATCTAAATGAAGTGGAACTCTGGGCAACTTGAATTAGCTTGCCACATGTTTTCTAACATTACGATTATTTAGTACAAAACTATTTCAAGCCTTTGCATAGCACGTTTAAGATGAGGCTGGAATAATATATTCCTACTGAGTCGGGTCCGACTCGTCAGCACATAACAACAACAACTGAAGAGAGAGCTCTGGTGGCGTAGTGCCTAAGGCATCTGACAGCTAATCAGAAGGCTGGAGGTTCAAATCCACCAGCCACTCCTCGGAAGGAAGATGGGGCAATCGACCTCCGTAGAGATACCACCTCGGAAACCCAAAGAGGGGTTGCTATGAGTCAGATCCGACTCCACGGCAGTGAGTTTGGTTTTGAACTGAAGAGACAGTTATGTCAAAAAGGTTAATGATGAAAAGAAAACGGCTTATGAATGAGAATGCTGAGACAGGCAGAGGTCAAGAGGTTCCTAAGTCAGAAAGTACTCCAATTTATAACCTTCGTTTGATAAACAGGATGAACCACAGTCAGGCTTTGATTTCACGAGGAAAGAAAAGCTCTGCGCCTTTCTCTCCTCCCCTCATTAGAAACGGTAAGGGCACACAGGAAAACGAAGGTGGCCTCTTACATCTTCTCTTGGCTCTTTCTAATCTTACTGCATTACGTACACTGAGGCAGCATTCATCTTCTAGGGAATCATTTTTTAAATCCCCTTAGCAATATCTAAGTACCGATTTATGAAGCTTTTTAACCTTCCGAAACGTTCAGATGTGTCCGCCTTGACCTACTGCTGTTATCTGGAAAAGGGCATGCCATCAACCATTAAACAAAGCATTTGGTATCTGCCACCTTCCTTCCCCCCTACCTTTCTTTGCCTGTCTTAAGTCAGCTCTCTGACTATTGTAATGCCCTCATCTGTCCACAGCAGTGAGATTCGTCTCTCACAGGAAATTCTGCAAATACACTAGGAGCCCAGGATACCTAACCCAGGACCTGTGTACTGGAGTCACACAGCACATGCCTGTCGATTGACAAACATAAGTTGCCACTATTAAGCTTCTAGCACTCTTATTAGATGTAGTTGATAACACAGATTTATTTAAAAAATCAGGGAACAGCTCCTGGGACCCTGAAGTGCAAAAGTCTAACCTCTAGTCCTTTACAGACTTAGTAGGTTGGGATACAGTTAGAAAGATGACCGGCCGATCACATTTTAGATCTTCATTCTAAGCTGGTAGCCTTTCCTTCCATGCCTTCTTCCAAAGACACATCCTTCTCTTCACTTAATCGATGAACTTCCTCGTTTTGAACATTCCTGAACTACATTAAACATGCTGAGAGGCATCTAAATTAAGTCTCAGTATCTCAAGAAAAAGTTTTGGCTTTCAATTTAATTACATAATTACATATAAGAGTAATAGAACACTGTCACCGTTGTTGATTTATTTTTTTCTTATTATCAACAACAACAACAACAACAAAACAAACTCACTGCCATCAAGTTGGATCCGACTCATAGCGACCCCTCCTTGGGTTTCCAAGGCGGTATCAATATGGAAGTAGACTGCCCAACCTT